GGTAACCCATTAGGATGTTGTGAAAAATCAATTCAGCAGGCTATCAGCATTTTCAAAAAAATTAATAAAACAAAATAGAAAATACCAGCAACACATTGCAAGTGTAAGCTTAAGTTTTGCTTTGAACATAAAATGTTTATTTGTTATGCTTTTGCATCTGTATATTGGGTTGTGACATTCTGTACTTCTTACTATAGCTAGAGCAAAGCTTTTGAAAGCCACTCATCTAGATGCATATACCTCAATCCCAGATATAAGCTGTGTCCTAAGACCCTCCGCCTGACACATCTCAACAATATTCTACATTTCCCTACCTTTTAGTGCTTTTCTAGGAAGCAAGGGTGTCCTATATAGTGCACAGATAGTCACTGAGAAATATTTTGTACAAAAAGCTGCATTTGGCAAAGGGCAAATATTCGATAGAATATAGCAGAGTTTGGTAGCAAGTGTTTTGATGAAGTATTTTTATTGTTCAGAGTCAATCGTTAAATCAAAAAGTTAAATATGCCCTGTCATTTCCCCCAAATATTATGCACACCCATGCTCACCACCCTTTCTGCTCTATGTTAAATCATATTACAAAAAAATCAACAAATGAAGTCCTCCGCTATCAAATTTCCTGCTTCACTCATTTCAGGCAAGCCAATCCAGCATCATTTCAAAACAAAGAACTCACGGTGACTTTCTGGCATTTACTTGGCTTCTTCCTCCTTCCCCAAACACTGCATTACCCTTTAACCTCACTGTGACTTTCTCTCTTTAGACACACTGTACATTACTACATAATTTCCAAAAACTAGGAAAAAAACGTTGACTCTAATTCATCAACGCACATATGTGCTTAAATAAGGTCTGTGGCTCTTCCACCCATATAAACTAGTCATGAAATAACAAATAATTTGGTGACAGAGTTTGACTCATGAGTTACTAGCCTCTTAAGCTTACAGCCTTTTACTTCCACTAATGTATACAAATTTAGACCGAAGTAGATTCTTAACATTACCTAAGCAAAACTCATTAACATAAGATGGCATTGATTACAAAACTCACTAGTATTTTATGTACCACTGAGAGGAAAAAAGCGAAGTATGCAATGATTTGGCATCAATTTATGGTCCACACCAATTTCAGGGATATTAAATTGTGAAAAATGTGTGCATCTTTGAAGAGATGAAATGTTAGTTAATTTCAAGGGCTGTTTCCTCTTCTCACTCGTCTCCCTGTGTCTGCTGACATTTTTTTTTGGGTATCATTAATCTACAATTACATGAGGAACATTATGTTTACTAGACTCCTCCATCACCAAGTCTCCCCCACAAACCCCATTACAGTCACTGTCCATCAGCATAGTAAGATGCTGTAGAATCACTACTTGTCTTCTCTGTGTTGCACAGCCCTCCCTGTGCCCCCCCACATTATACATGCTAATTGTAATACCCGCTTTCTTTTTCCCCCCTTTATTCCTCCCTTCCCACCCATCCTCCCCAGACCCTTTCCCTTTGGTAACTGTTAGTCCATTCTTGGGTTCTGTGATTCTGCTGCTGTTCTGTTCCTTCAGTTTTTTCTTTATGCTTATACTCCACATATGAGTGAAATCATATGTGCGGTTTTAATTTGCATTTCTCTGATGACTAGTGATGTGGAGCACTTTTTCATGTGTCTTTCTCTGCCTGACTTATTTCACTCAGCATAATACCCTCTAGCTCCATCCATGTTGTTGCAAATGGTAGGATTTGTTTTCTTCTTATGGCTGAATAATATTCCATTGTGTATATGTACCACCTCTTCTTTATCCATTCATCTACTGATGGACACTTAGGTTGTTTCCATTTCTTGGCTATTGTAAATAGCTGCGATAAACATAGGGGTGCATCTGTCTTTTTCAAACTGGAGTGCTGCATTCTTAGGGTAAATTCCTAGAAGTGGAATTCCTGGTTCAAATGGTATTTCTATTTTGAGCTTTTTGAGGAACCTCCATACTGCTTTCCATAATGGTTGAACTAGTTTACATTCCCACCAGCAGTGTAGGAGGGTTTCCCTTTCTCCACAACCTCACCAACATTTGTTGTTGTTTGTCTTTTGGATAGTGGCCATCCTTACTGGTGTGAGGTGATATCTCATTGTGGTTTTAATTTGCATTTCTCTGATGACTAGTGATGTGGAGCACTTTTTCATGTGTCTGTTGGCCATATGAATTTCTTCTTTGGAGAACTGTCTGTTCAGTTCCTCTGCCCATTTTTTAATTGGATTTTTTGCTTTTTGTTTGTTGAGGTTTTTGAGTTCTTTATATATTTTGGATGTCAACACTTTATCGGATCTGTCATTTATGAATATATTCTCCCATACTGTAGGATGCCTTTTTGTTCTATTGGTGGTGTTGTCCTTTGCTGTACAGAAGCTTTTCAGCTTGATATAGTCCCACTTGTTCATTTTTGCTTTTGTTTCCCTTGCCCGGGGAGATATGTTCATGAAGAAGTCGCTCACATTTATGTCCAAGAGATTTTTACCTAAGTTTCTTTCTAAGAGTTTTATGGTTTCATGACTTACATTCAGGTCTTTGATCCATTTCAAATTTCCTTTTGTGTATGGGGTTAGACAATGATCCAGTTTCATTCTCTTACATGTAGCTGTCCAGTTTTGCCAACACCAGCTGTTGAAGAGGCTGTCATTTCCCCATTGTATATCCATGGCTCCTTTATTGTATATTAATTGACCATATGTTTGGGTTAATATCTGGACTCCCTATTCTGTTCCACTGGTCTGTGGCTCTGTTCTTGTGCCAGTACCAAATCGTCTTGATTACTGTGGCTCTGTAGTAGAGCTTGAAGTTGGGAAGTGAGATCCCCCCCCACTTTATTCTTCCTTCTCAGGATTGCTTTGGCTATTCGGAGTCTTTCGTGGTTCTGTATGAATTTTAGAACTATTTGTTCCAGTTCGTTGAAGAATGCTGTTGGTATTTTGATATGGATTGCATTGAATCTGTAGATTGCTTTAGGCAGGATGGCCATTTTGACAATATTAATTCTTCCTAGGCAAGAGCATGGAATGAGTTTCCATTTGTTAGTGTCCTCTTTAATTTCTCTTAAGAGTGTCTTATAGTTTTCAGGGTATAGGTCTTTCACTTCCTTGGTTAGGTTTATTCCTAGGTATTTTATTCTTTTTGATGCAATTGTGAATGGAATTTTTTCCTGATTTCTCTTTCAGCTAGTTCCTTGTTAGTGTATAGGAAAGCAACAGATTTCTGTGTATTAATTTTGTATCCTGCAACTTTGCTGAATTCAGATATTAGTTCTAGTAGTTTCGGAGTGGAGTCTTTAGGGTTTATGTACGGTATCATGTCATCTGCAAATAGTGACAGTTTGACTTCTTCTTTACCAATCTGGATTCCTTGTATTTCTTTGTTTTGTCTGATTGCTGTGGCTAGGACCTCCAATACTATGTTGAATAACAGTGGGGAGAGTGAGCATCCATCTCGTTCCCGATCTTAGAGGAAAAGCTTTCAGCTTCTCACTGTTAAGTATTATGTTGGATGTGGGTTTGTCATATATGGCCTTTATTTTATTATGTTGAGGTACTTGCCCTCTATACCCATTTTGTTGAGGGTTTTTATCATGAATGGATGTTGAATTTTGTCGAATGCTTTTTAGTGTCTATGGGATGATCATGTGATTTTTGTCCTTCTTTTTATTTATGTGGTGAATGATGTTGATGGATTTTCGAACGTTGTACCATCCTTGCTAAGTCCCTTCCTGCTTGCTGGTTGCCTTGCCCTTCTCTGCTGCCTGTGCTGGTTACCCACACATGGGGAGCAGCTTCTGGTTTTATTTACTGCGTCACTGCAGGCAGGGCAGCCGTCAGGGTAGCCTAGAGCCCTGCGGGGAGTGGCAGGTGTGCCGGGTGAGCTCTCCTGCGAGAACGGCGACCCTTTGTGCCCTGTCCTGGCTTCCTCTGTCTGTGCTGGGCAGCTGCATGCTGGCGGGGCCTCTGAGTCTGGTCCAGGTGGCTGCGGAGGAGGCTCTGGGTGGCTGCTGTGGCTGCAGCCCCTCTCAGGCTGCTCCCCTGCTGTGGCTGGGCCACAGTGGAGGGGGAATGGACGGGAGGCTCTCGCCTTGAGGGGCTTCAGAGCTGTGCTGCCGCCCAGGGGGTTGGGGCACCCGAAGTTCCCTGGGATTCCCAGCCTGCTGGGCTGAGTGTGCTGGGCCGATTCAGTCCAGCTGTGGAGCCCCTGTCCCTTTAAGACTTTCAAAAAGCACTTGCTTTTGTTTTGTTCCAGGGGCACCGGCTGCCGGGACCTGCTCACAGGTTTTACTCTTCCGTTTCCCTAATATCCAGCACATGGTGCACTGTTTATCTGCGCTCCCGATGCAGCTGACTAGGGCTGGGTATTTAGCAGTCCTGGGCTCCCTTTCCCTCCCGCTCTGGCTCCTTTCCTCCCGCCGGTGCACTGGGGTGAGGGGAGCACTTGGGTTCTGCCCGGCCGTGGCTTGTATCTTACCCCCTTTGTGAGGTGCTGAGTTCTCACAGATGTATATGTAGCCTGACTGTTGTACTATATCTTCCGGTCTCTCTTTTAGGAATAGTTGTATTTGTTGTATTTTCAAAAATATATATGGTTTTGGGAGGAGTTTTCCACTGCCCTACTCACACCACCATCTTGGCTCCTTGTGTTGACATTTTTAATGTAGAGTTAAGTTAATGAGGCCATTCTTTCTGGAAATCACCAGTCTTTTGGTTTCAGTGCCCACTGAATATATATAGCATTTTGGATAGTTTCTCAAGGTTAAAATTTCCATCTCACCAGAAACTTCATTGCTACCTTGAACAGGAAATCTCAGGAACATGAATATTTGATAGGAAAAGAAGAACCCAGGTGAGCTCAAGAAACAACAAAGTCCTGGTTGGCAACCATTGCCAACATTCTTTTTTTGAAAAACCTTACATTGTAAAGAAACAACTACCTGCTCTTAGAGCCTTAAAAAAATCAAGACTTTAAAACAAACTTGTCATAAGGCAAAGTTTTATTTTTTCAACTTACAAAAATATGTGCATGTCAAAAATAAAGTCTAGTCCATAGAAGAGTAGTTCCAGCCATTTAAAAGTTATACAGTTTGGAGAAAGCAATGCACATACAAATCTTAAAACTTAAACAATTCACAAACAGTATATAACCACTCAATTCAGTTATTGCTAGTTATCTGCAGCTTTTACTTGAGACTGTTCTCCATAAGGAAAAGGACAGTGTTTGAGTACTGACTGTTCCTGATAAAGCTGTGGTTTGAAAAAGCCAATCCAAAATTAGAATAAGCTCACTTTGAGTAGAATATTACACATACGTTTTGATCAGTACCAGAGGGGGGTATGATCTTAATTTCAATTCTACTCCCCTGTCCTATTTAACTCTATTTTGGTAATATAACAGAAATAAAACGTATAGTTTAGGGTAAGAGTAAATGAATTACTGGTTTTAAAGTTAAGTGATAAGAAACATTAACTTTGAGTTACAATGTAGAAACAAAGATGGTATATTTAGCTTAAAAATAAGGTAAATTCAAGAATGGAAAAATGTTTAAAATTTAACCAAATCCAAAATTAACTTCTTTCTTTAGATGTTGAGACATAAAATGAATCAATTTGTTCTTTTGAACTTTATGAGTTATAAAGATGTGCTGTTCTCTATTTTCTCTTTAAAAAGAGTTAGCCACAGGACAGGACATGTTTTAAAATAGATCTACTTGCTCAATTCGACATAGAAGTATAAGTCATAAAATTATATAGTTTTAACTTTATAAGTAAAAAAAAATAATGCAGTTGACAGTGTAAAACATAGGAAACAGTCAATTACTTGGGGGTGGGGAATAACTGGGGGAGACTTTGGCCTAAAGATCATATGGAAGACTTAGAAACTAAAGGTGTCCCAAAGAGATAGCGATGGCTTTGTTTCAAACTTTCCTGTCAGACCCTGCAGGGTCAGACTTATTGCTGACATTTTACCTCATTAGTTCTTGAATAAATTGAGGCATACATTGGTGGTAAGTATGAGGTGAACAGGAAAAACCTTAAAAAATCATAGGACAAGTGACACTCATGACCATTTGGCAAAGATACTTACTATCTTAATGACTTAAATCCTAAAAATAGGCTACACTTTTAGGAGGTAGAAAACAAGTACCGAAAGTTTGACATTTGGCTACCCCTCCTGAACTTCAGCTAATCTTGGATCTCTGTATTTCTCACTCCCCATTCTCCCATTAAAGCTATTTAGTCCCACAACCATTCACTACCTAAGTTACAGACGTAGAGCTGCCAAGAAATACTACGTTAAGAGGTTTTGCTCGTAAGCTACTGAGTTGTATCTACTACTCAGGTATCAACTGAGAACATTTTAGTAGATTAATTCACTCCCTAAGAAAATATGCCAACATAAAAAAGCTACTTAATATGAAAAAAGACTACTGAACATCCCTACATGTGATTTGAATTGGTCAGAATAGTTATGCAAACTGTAATGTTTTCAACTGAACTAATTTGAAAAAGCCTCATTAAAACTACATTACCAGTGTTTACTGAAAAGTTATGTATTCTACTACAAAATTAAGCTAATGCCAATAAAACCACTTCACTTCCTCCCAGAATTATATTGATCTGATTCCTATTACACTGTGCTGATATCCTGTAGATAGTATTACAAAAGGATTTCATTTTTGCAATAGGCTGGGCTCACAGTGAGTATGTTAGTACTGAGATCGTGTGTTTAATGTTACTGTAATTATGTCATTAGTGAAATGTATATAAGGCATGTAAAAAATTTGCATTAAAGCTCTTAAGGGCAACGATCAAAACTGGCAGCTGCTAGAAAAGGTGCTGCTAGGAATAAAAAAATTAAAGAAGTTGAGCACATATTAGTTTCTAGTGCTTCCACAATGAAATAAATGAACTCACATAGATTTTTTTGCTGGAACTAATGGACCAAAGGAAAGTGGACTTTTGCCCCCTTTAACAACTAGCCCAATCTTGGAAACGGAAACAATCACTTGCAATCTTCCACACGGTGCTGTGAGGAGTAGACTGAGCAGTCAGCAGGAAGTTCTGGTTGAAGAAGTGTTGTTTGTTTCCATCAAACTTCACAATTCCACTGGTCACAACAAGAACTGTATTCTGGGATTGAGTAGCTTGCTCTTTGTCCACCAAAAAAAAGAGGAGAGGCTAGTTTCTATCTTGAAACAGATTTTCAGGCTTAAACTAGATTGCTTATAATTTAACATTAAAATAAAGTTCCATAAGCTTTCTTTCCCTTGAGCATGATCTTGACAAAGACATACCCAAAGACAGAAAACTAATCATTTCAAAGATATTAAAATTATTTTCAGTCTAGAAAGATTTTGGGTATTCTGAAGTTTCCAAATAAAGAGCTTATATCTACCATAGGACCATTTGGTTCCTGTATTTGTAAATATTTCATTGGGTTTCTAACAGAGCTTTTTCCTATTTTGTTTCTTAAGTTGTTGTTTTCAAGAACTACAGGGAAAAATTCACCGTAAACCAGTACTTAAGTCACTTCAGGATCCCACCTAGAGGTTAATCTTACAAACTACATCAATCTACCTTGAATCAAATTGTCTTGCCCAAAAGGTATTCTTTCACCTAACAAGAGTAAATGTTTTCTGTGAAATTTTAATAGACTGTAAGATGATAAAACACATTAACCAGAGACATGGTATAATTTTTCTCTGGAGACATCTCAAGGCACACAAGGCAACTATTTATTTAGGGAAAACAGACCATTGTTCCTCTCCATTGACAAAAATCACATTTAGTAAGCCATAATTATATGACCCACCAAATCTACTAGTGGTCCTCTGGAGTGAGATGTATCTAAAGGAAGACCAAAAGTTTGATTTGACAGATGAATTTTGCATAATTTTTAACTTGCTCAAAAAAAAAAGTAATTCTATCACTAAAAGTTGCTTGCTGCTTTCAATGTTAAAGCTCAGTGCTCACTAAAGGAAAACAAAGGAAATACCCTGAAAGACCATGATCTTACCATGAACTGGTTGGCAATCTAATGTATTGACCTGGAACTCACTGGAAGGCAGCGTATCAAAAAAATTATTTAGGGCTGCTAGCCCTGAAACAGCATTGCCATTCCATATTAGAGTGGCCGTGTCCAGATACAGCCTGGTTAGTGCCTACAAAAAGAAAAAAAAAAGGGAGATTTCTGTTTCTGTACAAGCATTTTATAGAAATGGATTGAAAGGTTACAAGCAGTATATGAACATTTTTATAGTTTTATCTCCATCTCTAACCCCCCTGCTCTCTCCTCCTGGAAGATAATGTGAATAGGCATGTGCCTTATAATCATGGCCTTAAAAAGATATTATCCTACTCTTAATAAATGAGGCAGCTAAATACATTTTTTCCACATTTCACTTAAATCACAATGAGAAATTTTGCATCCAAACTAGAAGTTTTAAAGTTTTGCTTTCTATATAAAAATTAAATGATCCAAAGTTTCAAGCACATGCAGCCCCAAACCAGTTTTAGTGTCCCACTCTTCTAAGAATTAACAAATTGTCAACGAAGCCTTACCTGTACATTTCAATCCTAGTGTTTACATACATGTGAGTCATTTAATATTTGAACCATGTATGTGTTAGGAAGAATAAGTTCCCTTTACTTTTATTACTACTCAAATGGTATATTTAGTTCCAAAGAATCATGTGTGCTTGCTAACGCAGAGTCCTTGATAAGTCAAGTTAAGGCCCACATAAGGCAAAATTCAACAAGCAACTCTTTAGTCACAGGAGTTAGTCACAGGAGTTCAGTGTGTCACAGAACACAGTTTTTGCTTAGTTCTAAAAGTTAACTTGGATTAAAAGGAAAACACATATCTTGACTCTGGTAATGAACTACGAGTTGTCTTTTGTTTATTTTCCAAAGCACCAAGGCACAATATAAATATCCATTGTCATATTCCTTGCCCTGACCCATGTCATCAAACATCAGTACCAGGAACTTTTATCTTTTGCCTTGAAAGGATAGGTTTTTTAGAAGTAAGATATTAACTTCTGTACCTACAGCATAAAGTTCTCTAAAACACATTCCTATGCCAATAATAAAAGACCTGAGCACATGCTGAAGTAATTACTTAGAAGACAGAGCTCAGATAAATTACAATGAAAAAAGCTGATGATGTAAGAACTTGCTCTGTTGAAGACTAAAAGTATACAAGCCCTGTAGATTCTGTCTGTGAGTACCAACTATAACTGTGAGCTTCTATCAGCAATTATCTACTATTACATGAAATTAAAGGGGCAAATCAGGGAACTTTCCTTCTAATAGCATTCCCTAGCATCACTACTATTTTAACCATATTGATTGAACGATGGGACCAAGAAAAGGTAACATATTTAAGTAAATATATGTCAGGCCCCATTAAATGCAGCATTTAAATTAATCCCACTTACCACCCTAAAAATAAAATGAGATTAAGAGAGTTAGCAACTTGCCCAGGGTCACAGAGCTAGGTAAATGCAAAGCTGGGGTATGATTCCAGATCCCACACTTCCATAATACCATGCCAATCCTTCCCTAAAATAAGTAATGCACTTTTAGACAAGTCCACAGTTACCACTTATGCAAGTCAGATGAATGTCTAGCTCAAAAAAAAAACTAGTGTTCAATAAAAAGTAGCAGAGTCTATAATGCTCACCTGTCTTCTTCTGTCCATTGTCTCATAGTAAATATTGATGAATTCCTCAGCAGCTTTACATGCCTGATCTACATAAGTTTTAAAATCCTGTAAGAAAAATTTCAGAAGTATACATTACTACCCTCCAACTCCTAACAAAACATAAAATCGCCCACAAAAGTGGATGATTTATTTCAATCACTTCGTAGCTTCATACATAGCCCACATTCTTCCCTATACATTTGGGCATTCTTAAGGTTAGCGTTCAAAAGTTTTCAATTTTTAAAATGTTCACTATTTTGAGGTACATATCTTTAGGATACACTCATTTCCCATTAGTGAATTAGATTTTTTTTCCTCACTTCAAATAGAAATTTATAACCCTGGGCAACTGGTACTTTAAGTAGGCTTCCAATATTTTACAAAACAATCACCTTAATAAAAATGATAGTTTGACCCTTAAAAGGGTGGGGGTAGGGATATCTGAATAAGTTAGGAAAGTGCTGAGTCTTTTCCCCAAGCCAGAAGTTATGACCAAATTCGAAAGTGTTCAATGGAGGAAAAAAAAGGAATAAGAATAAAGCTCAGCGAAGTAGTTAGAAACTAGGTACTTTGTAAATTTCCAACTCTCTTGCATTTGTAAACAATCATAAAACTGAAGAAAAATGCTGTTGCGGGGGTTGGGTGTGTGTGTGTGTTGTTTCTCTGTAGGAAGATTGAGTACCTTGTTGCCTAGCAATTTCCCGAGCCCAGCCTATTCTTTGAATTAAGAAGCAGTTTCATTTCTTTTTCAGGTGATGCAAAGTTAGAGAGAGAGATAAACGAGAGTAGGATAGTTCAAACCACCAACAGACCCCAACATTCCCGCCTCTCGCTAGTTCCCATCTCACGGTCCTTTCCACGATCCGAAAGGGAGACAGCAGTGAGCTGCAGAGAGCAGGCCCCGCCCCGGAGCCGGCGGGCCAGACCCAGATGTGCCACTTAACCACGTGACCAGGAGCCAGCCCGGCCCAGCATCTTAGCCGCCGGAGCCGCGGCGCCCCGGCACCCTGCCACGGCTGGGCACTCACCAGGGACGAAGCCATCGGGGACTGCGCTGAGTAGTGTCGCGGTGGCGGCGGCTGCGTCCCTTTGTCCTCACGAGTCCCTCTGCCCTCACGAGTCCGTTCCCCGCGGCTGCGGGAAAGTCGAATATTTAGGAAGACAGCGAACCCGCCAAACACACAGAATTCTTTTCCTGCCCATTCTCTCCCGGAAGTAGCTCGGTCCGCTGTTGAAAGCACCCCGACGTTCCAACCTTAAGTACACTTCCCTTCAGTTCCGCCCGTATCTTCCCATCCGCCTTATGTACTCACTCGTTTGATACACATACACTCAGTCTGGGAGAAAAAAGTAACTTAGTTCTTGTAAAACGGATACTCCAAACAAAGTACCCACTTTTCCAACGCCATACCCTGGTAACAAAGGCACAATGTAAAGTGTCCAATAGGGGGAACTTATTTGAAGCAGGAGGCAAGGCCAAAGCTAGCTGAACACCAACGAGAAGCTCAAAGAGCCATTGAATCTGTAGCCTATAGGAAAAAAGGGGTGGAGCTTGGGGAAGGGCGGAATCATAAAGCACATGACTGCTAAACGGTTTAGAGTTCTAGAACGTTCTGGAGGAATCGCTCCTCACTGAAGTGAACGGCATTTTACTAGTGTTTCTAACATTATTCACTCACTAACTGACCACTAGCAAGGTACTTTTCTAAGCTTTTTAACCCATATTCACTCATTACAGGAACATTATGAGGTTATCTACATTTTATGGTTAAGACACAGTAATTACATAACCTGCTTAGGGTTAAAACATAGTTGGGAGTCAAACTCGAGCAATTTATCGCTGCAAGTGGATTTCACTCCCCATCATCCTTTAAAACCGCTCGTCTCAAAAGCACTGACAATTTCTAGGTGGTCAAATCAGTCAGATATTTCTATAAATCCTACCATTCCTGACTGGTATGTGGCTCCTCAGGAAGATCGTCTCCCCATTGTTGTCTTCTTGCGCCTCTATAAGACAAGTATCCAGGGAATTTTCTCATATTTTCTGCAGCTACGGCTCAGGTATGTCTCTGCTGATCCTCTTCCCTCCTCAGTTCACTTCCGGGGTGTCACTTCCGGCCGGTATCTCCCACTTAAAACATTCCTCCTCCCACGTGACCTCAACTGCTACTTGTATGCTAATGAATCTCAGCAACACATGTCCAGCCGCCACCGTATCTCTCAGTGCAGATTTCAAGTATGTAATTTTGCTGAATGCGAACACTGAACTGGCTGTAGGTTTCTCAAACTCTAACAGTCCCAAATTTAAACTCTTTATTTTCTCTGCACTTCCAATCTTCTGTATTGTTCCAGGCATCTGTGCATAAATTCTTGGGAATCTTTTTATTTTTTGGTTATCCTCTTCCCCAACATTGTAATTCATTCATTCCTTCAACAAATATTTATTAGGCAGGTACTATGGGCCAGGCATTGTGCAAGGTTTTGGATATAGAATGCTGAACAAAATAGACAAGACCCGTATCCTCATGAAGCTCACAATGTAAAGGGAGTGCTAGACAATAAAAAAAAGTTAATGAAGTAGAGGAGTTTCAAGTAACTTGCCTAATTCTGCCCATTGTTTAAAGCAACCCTTTCCTGTCTCTCCTCTTTCTCTCCTCTGTACACAGCTTTGACTTTGGTTACTTTATTCTTAGTTTTGCAAAATTCTTCTAATCTTTAAAGACCTACCTTGGTCTGGTATCAATTTACCTTTCTAGACTTCTCTCCCATTCTTCACCAACACTGGAAAGCTAACTACTACTGTCTGCCAAAAATGACTCCTGTTCACTGCTTTATAGGTGATTGCTTTTCTTGATTGAGACCTTAGAATGTGTCTGGTATTCATTATGATTTTAAACAATCCTAACAACCCCTGGAAAGGGACATATTATTATCCAGATGTTTAAGAATTTAAACTGAAGTTCAAAGTGGTTAAGCAAGTTGGCCAAGATGACATAGGTAGGGAAGTTGGGGTTTCAACCCACTTGCTCTTAGACACTCTGCTATTCATGCATTTGCCTATACTAAGATTAGTTTGGAATGTTTGGTTCCTCCATTTCTCCGTGCCCTTCAGGGACCAGGGCAGGTGCAGCCTTTTCTGTGAAGCCTTCCCTCATTTATGTCCCCAGAACCCTAAAGGATGTGACCTGTCCTGTGGCTATGAGGAGTGTCTTTTGGTGTGGGGCAATAGTGCTGGGGACTAGAGGAGTGCTGTGAGTACTGAAAAGGGACAGCTGAGCTAGAGGGGGAGAGAAGGCTCAGAGGTTTGTGCTGAATGTGCGCCCAGAACTTTGTGTACTTTTACTGATGTGTTACAAGGGTTGAATCTGGGTAAACTGACAATATATAGAGAAAACAATGTTGCACTCTGGTTGGTCAGAGCAGTTAATATAAAATTATGTTTCAGGGACAAATAGGAACCAGGTCAATAAGACAGAATTTCTCTTTACTAGGTAACTGCACATGTGCAAAAAGCTGGGAGAGTCACTAGGGAGGGTGTGAAAGGGCTTTCTTTGGAACACAGAATGGCCTCTTGGTTAAGCACATTGTTCTTGACATACGTCTGGATTCAAAGCCTGGCTACGCCATTGATTAGCTCTGTGACCTTGGCCAAATTATCTATCCATTCCATGTCCCAGTCTCCCAGATTGCAAAATGGAAATAATAATATTAATACATATTTCATAACATGGTTGTGAGAATTAAATGAATCAGTGCCTGGCATTGCTTGAGGAATATTGTTTTCCTACCCATGGCAGAGGAGATTATGCAGCTGCACATTTGAGAGTAAGAAGTTGGGACAGACTCGATAACTGTTGTGTACTGAGAAGCATCTAAGATTCAGAAGATGGTTGGGGGCCTGGGATAGCAGACTGTAGGAGCAGTAAATTGGATAGATTAGGATTGCTCGTGGCTATGCTGTCCAGCCATCTCTCCTGGTCAAGTGAATACCTAGTGGAATTAAAGCTGTTTAGAGTTGCTAACATCCCTATCTGAGTCTTCACCTTGCTCTGGACTTGAGAAGGTCTAAACTTGACTGTTTGTCTAGAACAATCAGGGAAGTGATCTGAGTAGTCAGCCCCTTCCTCTCAGGTCTCTGATTGGCCACCAGCCTATTCACATCAAGTCTTATGTTCTACTGACTTAGCCACGCACCTTTGGCCTGTTCACATTAGATAGCACTTTTAAAAACAGCTTTATTGAGGTATAAATAACATACCCTTCAGTTCACCCACTTAATGTGTAAAATTCCATTGTTTTTAGCATATTCACAGAGTTATGCAAGCATTACCATGAAATTTTAGAACATTTTCAATGCCCTGGGAAAAAAAACCCTTTCCCATTAGCAGTCCGTTCTCAATTCCTCCTCACTCCAGTTCCTGGCACCACCAATCTACTTCCTGCTTTTATGGACTTGCCTATTCTGGACATGTCATACAAATGGAATCATACAATATGTGGTCCTTTGTGACTACCTTCTCTAACTTAGCACAGTGTTTTCAAAGTGCATCCATGTTGGAGCATGTATCTGTATTCCATTCCTTTTAATTGTTGAATAATATTCCCTTGTATGGTTATAACATATTTTATTTATCCATACCTCCATTTACTGACATTCGGGTAGTTTCCATTTTTTGGAAATTATGAACAATGCCTCTATAAACATTTGCATACAAGTTTTTGTATAAACATGTTTTCAGTTCTCTTGGGTGGATACCTAGGAGTGGAACTTCTGGGTCATATGTCAATTTATGCATTAAAAAACAGAATTCAACTAAGGAAATTTTGAGGATCTCATTGGCTCTATTCAACAATTAATGGATTGGGCAACATCCAGTGTAGCAGATGGAAAGGAGCTCCAAGGAGCTGTACAGAATAAAAGAATTTTATAGGCAGAAGGGAGCAGGAACAAGGAAGTTATACTAGGTAAAAAAGGGGATTGGTTATTGCAAGGTTACTTTCCTGTAGGAGATGGTAGGGCTCTATTATTTAATTTTTTTATTTTACTTTACTACTGATAATTTTACTACTACTAATCAGGAGATTCCTGAGTGACTGGTTTAAGATTTCATTTCTGGAAGAGCTGAAACTGTGATTAAGTTAAGTCTAGGTTTGATGATGTGCGGCTTAGCATAAGTAACTCCATTTTGGGCCTGTGACTGTTTTTAATATGAACTTAAAGTTTTAAGGGACTTCCAGCTTATTCTCCACAGTCGCTGAACCATTTTAATTTCCATCAGCAATGCATGAGTGTTCCACTTTCTCTACATCCTTACCAATACTTGTTATTGGCTACCTTTTTTATTATAGTCATTTGAGTGGTTGTGAAGTGGTATCTCACTGTGGTTTGATTTGTATCTCCCTGATGCCTAATGATGTTGAACATATTTTCATGAGCTTATTGCCACTTGTATATCTTTTTTAGAGAAATGTCTATTTAGATCCTGTGTCTATTTTTAAACTTAGGTTGTCTTTTTATTATTGAGTTCTAAGTATTCTTTATATGTTTTAGGTACAAGTGCCTGATCAGATATATGATTTGTAATATTTTGTCATATTCTGTGGGTTGTCTCTTCACTACTGTGGAGCTATGGAGACAGGTATGGGAAATCAGTAGGTTAAGTTACAACACTATAAACCCTGCTTTCCTTATTGAATATTCAGCAGTTTTTCTTGAGTAAATGTCAGATTTTTGAAAATGTTTACTTAATTTCTAGTGTTCTGAAACAGTTAATTTTCACATTTTTGTCAGTACTCTCTTTGCTTTTTATGGAGGGTTGGATTGACAGAAGTCCTCGCTGCCATTCCAGAAGCCTTGCCTAGGTATCACTTTTGTGTATCTTTTAAGAGATTAACATAGTTGGCCTTTTATTATTTATGTATTTATGTTCTTCACTAGACTTTAAGTTCCTGGGGATAACATTATCTGTGAATATATTTAACAATTACTCACATCACTGGCACTGAGTAAAACTTTACACAAAGTAGGTGGTGAATGACCACAGGAAATGTCCTCCTTTTTTTAGTTTGCTTTTATCCTCATTCTGAATCCATTTTGAAGGAAATGAAGGTGTGAACTAATTTCTTATTTCTTATAAAGGGAAGTTTTTCTTCCTGTTGTGAAAGAAGTGAAGGAATAATCCATTTTCACCTCATTACTTTTCAATTGCCTCCTCTATGGGGTATTCATAAGTCTTATCTTCAGGGGAGAACAATTCTTTCAACTCTGCTGGAAACTTCTTTTCCTTCAAGTAATTATTTTCAGAATCAAAACGTACAATAAGGCTTTTGTATTGGTTGAGCTCTCAGATTTTGGGAAGTCCCACTAAGACTCTGGCTCACTCAGTCTGCAAATTTCTTAGAAAAATGTGAGTTATCATTGTCAAGACATCATAATACAAGGTTCAGACAGCGGC